TGCTGTTATTGTTGTTGTTGTTTTTTTAAATTTTTTCCTGTCGGTCTTCCTTTCAAGAAGTATCTACTGTTCTTCTAGCCACTCAAGGCTGGTCTGCTTGTCCTTTCAAGTGGTGATTTCCCACCTCAGAAGATTCTGGATGGGGTTCAGTATTCCACCTATGGTCTTATGTAATGCAGAGGCTCTGCTCAATACATTTTTAATCATGTGCCTACTAAGTACCATGTGCATGCTGTTGCTGGAGCTGCAGGAATGAGAAAGGTGAGCTTTTAAAGTCTATGCTTCTCTTCTGTACTTGTACTTTGGAGACAACAAACCTGAGTGTCTTCCTTGATTTCTACCTCTCATTCCCTATATCCTATCAGATACCAAGTCTAGTGGTGGTGGTGATAGTAGTGTGCCACGGAGTTGGTTCTGACTCACAGTGACACTATAAAAACCACGTGGGAGCCATGTCTGACTTCCCCTGATTTCACTAAGGGCAAGAGACTCAAACTCAAAGTCAGCCCAAGGGCTGATTCCTATAAAGTGAAGGTCAGACATGCCTCTACTCTACAACCTTCTTTACCCTATTCTGACACCAACCATCCCTCCCTCAGCACTTTCTGGTTCACATCTGGGTTCAATAATCCATTGCAATGGCCATACAGAACTCATAACAATACTCATGATTATGGGGTTTATTAGGGATGTGAACAGGTTATAATTCAGGATGCAGCAGTTTTCCAGTCAGGAACACCTTTTCTCCGCTGTACTGCAGACACACCTCACTCTTGTCTTCAGCCTCTCAGCCATGTGGTCCCTTGGCCTCTGCCTCAATCCATGGTCCTAGACACCACAACTGCTCTGTATCTCTATGCCACTGCCTCTGTTGTCGCTTCTAACACCTCTGCCTTCACCTCTGCTGTCACTGTTTCTCTAGGTAGTGATCTCACGCTCCATTCATACTCTTCCTTCTCGATGGTCCTGAGCTCTTCCAGCTCTACTTATGAGATGACTCCTTTGAAACCTAGCTGGAGGGTAAAACTAACTAATCCCAGCCTTAGAGTCCTGTATACCTTATTTGTATGATCTCACCTAATCACTGGGTGGGTACTAAGAAGACTTTGGATAGGAAAGCCATATCAAATAAATAAGGTTTCTGAGGCTATACATCTTTACAAGAGCAGAAAGTCTCATCTTTCTCCCACAGAGCATTTGGTAGATTCAAACTGTGGACCTTGCAGTTTGCAGTCTAACTTGTAACCCACTATACTACCTGGGATCCTTAAATCTTGTATATTCTACTTAGTAATTCTGGGTCCACTCTAACTGTACTGAGGCCACATCATCCAGTGTCCTTAATTTTTACTTCATAGTTCTCCACCCTACCATAATAGGACTTTGATCTGTCTCTTTCACTGCCTTGTCTCTGAAGGCTAGAGGTGACCCAATGAGCTTTCATGACATGACCATTTTGCTGTAGGCCACAAAATCACAGTGAAGCACTTATGAGTCTTCAGGTTGACTATGGATGGGTTAATCTGAAGGCTTCAGGTTGCCTGTCTGGTTCAGCAGAATGCCTCCTTGTGGGTTTAAGTTTGCTTCTTCTTGTGTTCATTCTGGCACTCTTCCATAACCTTATGGTTTGTAATACAAAAAGAAAGCTCTCTTAGTTTGTGTTCCCTAAAAGCAGATTCAGAGACAAGGACCAGAGGGGAGGTTGAAGAGATCAACAAGGCTAATCACATAACCTGGGAAGCCATTCCAATGGGAACTGGTGTGTTGGGACCTCACTTAAGATCTGGATTTTGGACCTTCCAAGTCTCGTGTAATGATTTCATACTAGCTGAGCTCTGAGCAGACTTCTACATGGGGAGGACTGTGGTGTTATGGGTGTGGGTGGTACTAAGGATCAGGAAGTGGAGAGTACTACCCCAAGAACTTTCAAATGTAGCATTTTAGTCTAGGAAGAATAGTCTAGTACCTCAGATTGTCCAACTCAATGAAGCTCCTACTTAAAGGATCTTGGAATTTAGCCTTAGAATCAAGGACTCTCAAAGCCTAGAACTCTAATCCTAACAGAAAAGCAATGCATGTTATGCTTGGAAGCAACAAAAAATCAGGGAAAAGGGAGTTTATTATATAGATGCACCTATGTAGGAACCTAAGAAATGCAAGACAGCTAGGTCCCAGGGAGGTCAGAAACCACAGTAAAGATGGTACAGCAAAAGCAGGGTTAGTGGTGAAGCCAAACCCATGTCTCAAGGCAAGGTCACGAAACCTCACTGTTGGAGTTTTAAATATGGAGGTTTATAGAATTATAGATACATCAGACTCCAGTGCCTTCAGGTCACTGAATTATGTAAATGTAGTCTCCCAAAGTCACAAGGTATTGCAGAGCAGAGAGTCTTAGTCTGAATGAGATTGAAAACCATTCTGAAATTGATGTCATATTTTTGTGAGGAGAAGGTTTCAGCTTTCATCAACTTCCCTAAGATAAAGAGTCACTGACTACATTACAATTTGTGTAAAAGAAAGAATATCTGTGAATTTGATTTTATAAGGTAGGGCTTCAAAAAGCTTGTGGAAAAATTCCATTATCTTTTAATTCCATTTTTCCACAAACTTTTTGGAGCCTGATCATATACACAGTGATTATTTCTGGAAGGATTCATAAAACATTGGTTGCCTCTGGATAGAAGTGGTTGGAGCCAAAGAACTGGGGAAAGAAAGGCATTTCACTGTATGCCTTTTAATCTGTTTAAATTTTGAATAGCAAAAAATACTTTTAGAAAATTAAATGAAAACGTTAAACTACACTCATTAAATTTATGATTGATCTTATTAGTGATCAGATCAATGAAAATTTAAAAACTCTTTGTCCACCAGTTTTATGAAAATATTCATATTAATTTTCCTTCTAGAAATCTTTCCTATAAAAAACATGTATGCAAGTACACAGGATTTATATACAAGGATGGTTCCTATTGTATTATGTATAATACTTTAAAAATAGAATAAAGTAAGTATCCATTAATAAGGAAATTCTTAAGTAAATTACAGTTTAAATTATACTATGAACAAGGTAGATATGTATGTACTAACATGGAAGGAAGTCCATGATCTATTGTTTCCTGGAAAAGAAAAGTTATATACATTTAAGGCTATTCCTTTTTTCTTTTTGAAAGGATAAAAAGAGTCTGTACACAAAAAATCATGTGTGTTTATATATATATGAATATATATAATTAAATATTATATTATTTGTATATGCATAGAAAAAAGTCCTTGTGCAGGGGGCTATATCATTCCTCCCTCCCCAGTAGCATTGGGAAGATGGATGATGAAGGAGACCAAAAGAAAGGGTGCTTTGTGACAAGTCATATACTTTTTTTCCTTTCTTTTTTTATAGACAAGCAAGCAGTTTTTTTGTAATAAGAAGGAAGACACACACAAAAAAGAAAAAGAAACTGTCCATTTCTAAATGTCTTCTTCTTGTAGCCACTTCATGCCATTTACACGCCACCCACAGGACACTTGTGGTTACCTCTTGACTCCTACCCACTCTGCCTGAGAGTCTATGTCTGTCCCTGCCCTGAATGTAGAACTGCAAGGATAGGGGAGGAATTCTGGATGCCAGAGCTCTAACCTCATCACTGGAGGCCTGCTATGGCCCCATCAGCTAACACCCCTAGAACTATCCCTGTTCCAAGCCTCAGACTATGCGAGGTGAAGACCAGACCCTTCACCAAGTCAGTCAAGCCCGTTCATGCTTGGCCTCAGTCAGACTTTCCAACATTCCTACTGCCCAAGCTCCACACACTAGATGACACACCTTTTTATCTTATGAGTTCCTACCTCTAATACTTTTACTCTTTACATTCCTGATCCCACCCTTTCCTCCCCAATTCTACTTGTTGAAATCTTATTTGCCTATTCATCCTGCAAAACCTTGTTCATACATCACCTTCTCCAGGAAGTCTCCCATGTTCCTTTCAGCAAGAAGGGTCCTCTCAATGAAACGAAATACGATAGGATGAATGTAAAGTTAATGTTCTCCTATGTAAACGATCACATAATTCACAATAAAAACTTACAAAAAACAAAAAGATAAATGGAGGAAAGACTGGAGTTTACAAAGACTTCATTTTGCTTGGATCAACCATCAATTCTCATGGAATCAGCAGTCAAGAAATCAAATGGCATACTGCGTTTGGCAAATCTGCTGCATAAGACCTCTTTAAAATGTTGGAAGAACAAAGATGTCAGTTTGAGGACTAAGGTGCACCTGACCCAAGCCATGGTATTTTCAATAACCTCATATGTATGCTGAAGGAAGACCGTCAAAGAATTGATGTATTTGAGTATGGTGATGGAGATGGAGGAAAATATTGAAAGTACCATGGACTGCCAAAAAAAACAAAAAAAACAAACTATTTTGTGGTGGAAGAAGTACAGCCAGAATGCTCTCTGGAGGCCAGGGTGGCCAGACTTGGTCTCTCAGACTCCAGTCCCTGGAAAAGGATATCATGCTTGGTAAAATGAAGGGTCGGAGAAAAAGAGGAAGACTCCCCAAAAGATGGATTGGCACAGTGGTAGTAGTGATGGGCACAAATGTAACAAGGATTATGAGGTTGGTGTAGGACTAGTCAGTGTTTCTATTGTGCATAGGGTTGCTATGAGTTGGTACCGACTCGATGACACCTGGCAATAGTGACAACATGTAGTTTAAGGCTTGCTTCTGCTCCTTATTTTTCACACTCAACTAGGTTTTACTATGAGGGGTCTTCAAAAAGCTCATGGAAAAGGGAATTAAAAGATAATGGAATATTTCCAAAATAAGAAAGAAGGGTCATCTCTTCTGATCTTCCGTTTCTATCTTGTGCCTAGCATTGGGAGTGGCACACATTAGATGCTGATGAATAATTATTAAACTGTACAGATTAACATTTCCATTTTCCAGATGAGGAAACTGAGATCCAAAGAGAGCCAGTAATTTGCCTAGGGTCACCTCAAACATGCATACTCCCGCCATGATGACTCTGCTGCTTGTGTCCCTTGGCCTCGTGGAAACACTTCAGGTACAGCCGTCTTCCACCATCCCCATTCAAGCAGGGGACTGGGCTGGTGGATTTTTCCAAACTTTTGAAAGAAGAACAAAGGGAAGAGAAAATGCCAAAGCTTCCTTGGTTTTAGGCAGCTTGCAACCAGGAGTTCCCAATCCTCTTCCCCTCCAGGAGTGTTTGGGGTCCTAGGACTCTCAACAATACAAGTCTCACCTCAGTGGAGGGGAGAACTGTATAAGGGTCCCATTATCTCAGGGGTCCATCTTTTCCAGCCTTGATGCTCCCTTCCCTGCAGGTCCAGAACCACTCCATCACACGACGAGACCTCTTCTCTCAAGAAGCCCCCCTGGACATGGCTCTGGCCTCCTTCGATGACCAGTATACTGGCTGTGCAGTGGCCATGGCAGTTGCTCTCCCTGATCTCAACCGCACAGAATTCCAGGTCAATAAGGTGTACGCCGATGGATGGGCACTGGCAAGCAGCCAGTGGCAGGAGCGCCAGCTCTCCCGGCCAGAGTGGGGCCTTAGCCCTACCCTCCCTCCCTTGCCGGTGCCGGGCTTCCGCGATGAGCACGGGGTGGCCCTCCTGGCCTACACAGCCAACAGTCCCCTGCACAAACAGTTCAATGCAGCTGTGCGGGAGGCGGGCCGCTCCCGGGACCACTATCTCCGTCACTTCTCCTTCAAAACACTCCATTTCCTGCTGACTGAAGCCCTGCAGCTGCTGGGCAGGGGCCAGTGCCGCCAAGTGTTTCGAGGGGTAAATGGGCTGCGCTTCAGGCCAGCAGGACCGGGGGCCACAGTAAGGCTGGGGGGCTTTGCCTCTGCGTCTCTGCAGAATGCTGCAGCCCAGCATTTTGGTGAGGACACCTTCTTCGGCATCTGGACCTGCCTCGGGGCCCCTATCAAGGGCTATTCCTTCTTCCCTGGGGAGGAAGAAGTGCTGATTCCCCCCTTTGAGACCTTCCAGGTTATTAATGCCAGCAGACCTGCGCACGGCCCTGCTCGCATCTACCTACGGGCACTGGGCAAGCGCAGTACATACAACTGTGAATACATCAAAGGTAAGGGTGGTGCAGAGGGTCAGCTCATGTGCCAAAAGGTGAGCTTCTCCAGTCCAGGGTCTTTGGCAAACCCAAACCCTACCCAACGAGTTCAGGGCATGCAGGCATAAATATTAAAACACAAACAAATAGTGAGGCACCCCTTCCACCTAAGGGGAGACTAGATTCTCAACTAGTGTGCCTTGTGCAAGGTGTCTAATCTGCTCACTCTGGTCGACCCCATGTTGAGAATTTGCCTTTTCAGTCCAGATGTACTGAATCAGAATCTACATTTTAAACAAGATCCCCAGTTGATTCTTATGGCAAATTCTCAGCAGGAGGTGGGACACGTGTGGACTGGTTGGGAGCCCCGACTTCTTGTTCCTGCAGGTATTTGAACCAACATTCCCACACCCCAAGCTCTGCCATACTAGAGGGCACACTTTCTTTTTCATATTCTGTGACTTTCCAACTCCTGTACCTTTGTTTCTTGGGAAGCTGAAGACGATTTTCTGACTAAGGCACAGATCTTTGGTCATCTGAGAGGGCCAGCAGATCTGGCTGGGTTTTTCTAATTAAATTCTAGCTGCAGTCCTGATATCCGGACTGCTGGTGCCCGAAACGAGTAAGAGCCCCAACCTTGGTTTCTAAGAGGTGCACATTCATTAGATTGAATAGAATGCTGATTTGTAGTGTGTGTCTGATGGGTGGTGTGCCCCTAAGCTCCATTCTAGTCTGTGCTAAGGCAAGTCTTGATGCTCCAGTCTGAGGAGAACCATCAGGACTGGTCCAGGTTCTTAGTCTCTGAATGGGATTGTGGGCTGCTGTTCCCAGATGAGTGGTGTCCAGGGGCTTGTGGTGTTGTTTTCATAGTTAAAGACAGATTGTTGGCTAGAACTTTGGACCATCTAAGATAGGAGAAGGTTCTGGGTGGCTTTAATTCTCCCTTTGGATACTACCATGAGTGAGGATGGGTTAATGGAGAAAGAGAAGCAGAGACGCAAACTAGCCCCTCCTTGACTAGAACAAGGCAGAAGAAGGAGAGGTGGATGCGGCAGGGAGGCAGAGACACAGGACAAGTGGCTGGAATGGGTCTTGGTTTTGGTTTTGACAGCCATGGTCGAATCAAACCTAACTAAGTAAGGTCTCACTATTAGGGAGAAATGCACCAGCTTTTTCCAGGCCAAGTCAGGGTTGGACAGCCAAGCCTCTGAGGTCCCTTCTGCCCTTGAACCTTTGATTCTTTGCTGTTTCTTCTCTCTAGATAAGCAGTGTAAATCTCGGCCCTGTCGTCTGGATAATTCAGGTAAGGGATGCAGGTTGAGTCTGAGGATGGGTCAGGCTACGCTGGGCTTGGGCCCATTACTTAGATATATATGCATAGGGATGGTGGTGGGAGGTTGCTGATAAATCTACCCTCCAGTCTGGGTCTGTCCCTCCCTTTACAGGAGAAGATTCCCCAGAGAGATTTGGGTACTGAGTTGAGAGAGGGAAGGGCTGTTCCCACAATGCTTCCCACGTGGCTTTCTCTTCTAGCTGCAGAACCTACTGTTTCTGCTACTGCACTTAGGGCTCCCCTCTTATCTTCCTTCCAAGGTCAAGGCCAGCCTAGGGTGCTGGAGATCTGGGCTCTAGTACAGGCTTTGCTCCAACTTTCTCTGGGCCTCATCTCTCTTTAGCTCTTTTGTATAGTAAGCAAATTAGATTAGGTGATCCTTGAGTCCCTTGCAGATAAGACTCTTTTCTTCCCATGAACACTTATTGTGTCAGGGTTCACCTGGATCAGCTCTGGTTCTGGCAGGTAGTTCTGCCCATTCTTTTAGATGAGAACAGTTTTCCCAGAGAAATCTACTGAAACAGGTCATTCCCAGGGAAGAACCCAAGGCCCACGATGGCTTGTGGCTCCTCGCTGGATCTCCTCTCCCTCCCTTAGACTCTGTGAGCAGTGGGCAGGAAGGAGTCCAGCCTCCATGACAAAGTTATACCCTGAGTGCCAGGCACATCACATCCTTAATACTCACCACAACTCAGTGGTGTAGGTACCATTACCATCCTTGTTCTAAAGGAGTGATGCAGACAGCCCTACGTTACAGAGCTAGCATGGGGTAGAATCCACACAGTCTGGCTCTAAAACAAATTCTGAACCACCACACCAGGCTGGCTTCTGTCCTTCCCCAGACATCATGTTATTTTATCTTTGTTGTTCTTAAGTGTTGTCGAGTTGGTTCCAACTCATAGCAACCCAGTATAGGGTTTCTGAGGAGCGAATGGTGAGTTTGAACCACCAGCCTTGTGGTTCTAATTGACATTGTGGTCCTGCACTTATCCTACAATGCCACCACGGGACTCCATTTTATCTTTACCATACAATAATGAGCTAGAACAGAGGCTATTACCATCATAAGGTTTGGGCTGTGGAATAAATCTTAATATCACTAGATCCCACCCAGATTCAGTCCCACATTCTGTCCCTCCCTACAAAGCTTAATTTGTGTGAACAAAGGCAAATGATGAGATTTAATGACTTCTGGAAGGAGAACAAGGGCTTCCTTGTGGTTTATGAAGTCAGTATTGTTGATCTTGAAGAGAGGGGACCTCAGGCTCCTTCTTAGGTACAATGAGGAGATACTAGATGAAGGCTCTGAAGGCCAGCAACCACCAGGACCTGTGCCATTCCCATCTGGAGGTGCTGTGGTTACAGCAGGTCCCTGGTCTCTTCATCTCTGTACACCTTTCTCTAAATTTTTGTACTTCATCTTTTCTCCTGATGCATTTTTTTTCAAGTTTTTATTGTGAATTGAGTGACTGTTTACATGGGAGAACATCAGTTTTACATTCATCGTTTCATTGTAATGATTACAATCTTTCCGATGCATTTTGTAAATCAATCTTTCCAGCTTATTCAGTCTCTATTTATATTGTTGTTTTTTTCATCCCTCTCTCTCTCTGCCTGTTTTTCCTGCAGCCATGGGTCAGGGTCCCCTCTCCAGAGTTTGGCCTCTCCTGTTGCTGCTTTGGTCCCTTTTGATGGTGGCATTTCCAGAGAGTCCAGGCCTCCTCTGATCCAGCTGACACTGAGCACTTCTATCTACCACTTCTGTGAAGCTTGAGGACACTGGCCACATGTGTGCTTTAAGTGTGATCAAGATCCCTGTTTACTCCATCTGCAGAGAACTCTGGGGATTTCTCTGGTATCTTCCAGGCTTGCTGGTGGAGCAATAGAGAATGTTGAAACTAAGCCTTATCCAGGGTTCTAGGAGTGAGGCTCTGGATAGAGGTGGGGGCACTCTAGGACTGGCAGGAACTAACTCAGAAGTAGAAGAGACTTCTGGTTTGGGAGAGGAAAACATTTGGCCATGGTACTTGCTGGTGTTATTTTTGATACCTCACGTATCCATCTGGCAAGCTCCTATTCACTTCTCCAAGAAATCTTTAAAACCTCTTCCACCCTCTGGGTTAGGGGCCCTTATGCCATGTGAGCATGTCTGTCTCCCATGCATGTCTGTGAGCTTTCTGAAGACCGAGCCTGAGTCTGATCTATCAAGAGTCCCATGGCCATACAGAGGAGGTGCCAGGAAATTAATAAAAATCAGAAATGAACAAATACGACTATTCCTCACTTACCAACCACCATGGCCTTTCCTTATGCAATACTCACATTAAAACAACAGTTAAAAATCTACTATTTGACTATTTTGTACATCAATGACGTACGTCTGGTAATAAATGAGTGCCAGGTAAGAGGTGAGAGTAATACTGGTTGTTGTGGTTAAGGTAATATGGCAACTTGGCTGGACCATGATTTTCAATGGTTTGGCAGCTCTTATAATGACGTAATTTGGCAGTTGGATAATGATGTAGTCATCCTCAATTTTGTGATCTGACATGGTCATCTTCCATTTTCACATAGTATGAATTTTCATACAATGACCCAGTCTTTGGAATCTACCCATGTCAGTAAGTGAGGAGTGATGTACTTCATGAATGGCTGGCCCCTGTATAGCCCCCTAGCATTGATGCTTTTGAACTCTCAAATTGTCACTGTGTGGGAATGAAATAAACTATACCTCATTCTAGAGAGTAGAACTTTAGGGTCTCTGCCAGGATCTCAATCAAATCTCAGCCACACTCTGTCAGCATAGATTCAATTTCTGGCCTGATCCATGAGGCTACTATCTCTAGAGAGCCCTTCCCAACCTCCACCACTAGGGACCCCAAGGATAAGATAGGACATAGAGGTGGTGCTAGGAACACACTTGCTTTATTATAAGTTAAGGCATTGCTGTCAAATGCCTGTATGATCTCTTGGTCTGAAAACTAGACATTGAACCCTTAGCCCCCTTCCCTGGGGCCCTAGGCAGAGGTATAATCAAGTCCCTATAACGGCAGATGCATGGGAAGTTAGAAAAGAGACCAAAATGAAGCAACTCTCTGATTGTTATTTAATAAACTGCACTCTCCCCACTAAAAGCTCCAACACTCACTATGATAGTTCAGTTCTATCCCTCCAAGAGTGTATTTTGATCTTGTTCCTTTTTTTTTTTTTTTTTTTAGGAAGTAGGCTAACGGAATGGATCTAGGCTAGATGGGACCAGTGGTTCCCATCTTGGCTCCTTACAGGGCCTGTACCAATACCAGGAGGCTCATGACCAAGGCCATGGAGAAGAAGATGCCCAGGAAGAAACGGTCCATCACACGGGCCAAGCGTTTCCAGTCTTCATGGCAGCGCTGGGTAGCCCGGTAGCTACGGAAGGCGTTGGCAATGGTGGCTACATGACGCAGTAGGGCTTCTTGGTGGCACAGACATCGGAACTCATGGCAAGGGCCTGCTAGTGGGCCAGCCCCTCCCTCGGGAGACTGGGGACCAGGGGGTGACTCAGGTGACCTGAATTGTCCACAGGGTTCCCCCCGTTCCCTCACACACAGGCCCTGTGCCAAGCGTCTCAGCAGGAGGGTCCGAGCCCAGGCTGGAACTGGGCGGGCACTGGGACCACAGTAATGCAGGTTCATGATGAGGATGGTGAGTGCCGTTGAGAATGTGACCATGGTCATTGTAGCCATATAGTACTTCCCTGTAAGAAAAAGAGCAAGCCAGGGCTTGCAACAAGAACTCAGATATGAGTTTCCCAGCTGCTAAGGCAAACACAAGGAGCTCTAGTAGCGTAGTGGTTACGAATCGGGCTGCTAATCTCAAAGTCGGCAGTTCAAAACTACCAGCTGTTCCATGGGAGAAAGATGAGGCTTTCTGCTCCTGTAAAGATTTACAGCCTTGGAAACCACGGCACATAACCACCACCACCGCCAAGACAAACACAGGAATAAACCTACACGTTAAACTTTCAGGCAGCTCAACACCCAATGATGGAAGCAATAAGGGTCAAGGTGTCCCCAACCCTCATTCTTGTAAGTTCTCAGAAGCTACCTGTTCCCCAATTGTTCCCCTAGCTGCTGAAGGCTACATTCATACTCACTCAACCTATGAAAGTAGCATTTTCCAATACTATGGCACAATCTTGTGTAAGTTACTGATCTTTACAGCAGGGATAACAATAAAAACTACCTTGTAGGTTTGTGGTGATGTTTACTTGAATTAATAAATGTCAAGTGCTTAGGAGAATGGCGTACAGTGAACACTCAATACATTTTACCTATGCCTATGATACTTTTTCCTCTCCATCAAGTCCTTGAGTAAAGACCTACTCCTTCCCGCACCTGCGGACAAGCAGTGTTCTCCCTGGAAGGGGCCTCCTTTCTTCTCATCTCACAAAGAGGGCATGCCCCAAGCAGATGCCACTCTCTTTCCTCTCTCCTCCAGGATTCCACTGGCCCAGACCCAGCACTGGTGAAGTCCCATGCGCGTCAGCCAGAGTTAGGTGGGGTCCTCGGGATGGAAGGGGCTCTCCCTGGAAACACATACCCACACCCTCACCCACTCACCGATCAGAGGTACACTCTCAGCTGGTGGCATGCTCTCGGCCAGCAGCAACTGGAAGACGGTGAGTGCCAGCAGCACGGTGACACCGAGAGACACCTTCTCACCCGAGTCAGCGGGCAGGTGGAAAGCAAGCGGAGCCAAAAGCGAGATGAGCACACAGGGAAGCAGCAAGTTGCAGACGTAGGCAGCGGCGCGTCGGCGCAGCAGTAGCGTGAAGGTCACATCCGGGTAAGGTTCGGAGCAACAGCCGTAGGTGAGGACGCGCCGGCGCGCCGGCATGCCCAGCACGCGCCACTCTACATTGTCCACGAAGTCAGCCAGGCTCGCTGCAGTGCCACGTGGCCTCACGTCCAGCTGGTGCCCGCCGTGTGTCCAAGAACCGAAAGTCAGGCCACACCGCTGTGCATCGAACGGGAAGGCAGACACATCCACACGGCAGGAACTGCGCGTGATGGCTGGGGCGTCCCAGCGCACGGCGCCATCGTGTCTCAGGACCACGTTTGTGCTGGCCGAAGCCTGCGGTTGCGCATCTGCCCTGCGGACAGGTGAGGCAGGACTCACTGAGGCTGTCCAGATGTGGAACAGCTCCCGCGCTAATGGAGGGGTCCCAGAGCTCTAAGGCCAGAAAGATGGCCCTGGCTGCGAGGTAGAGGGCGCCAAAAAGAGATTCTGCTTTTGAACAGCTAGAAGGACCCAGGAAAAATAGAGCAATGGGTCTTGAAGGGACATAGATCTGGCCCAGTTGTTGTTGTCAAGTGTCATCGAGGAGTCGGTTCCGAGCCACAGTGACCCCGTATAGGGTTTCTGAGGAGCGACTGGTGAGCGTGAACTGCCGACATTGTGGTTCAAAGCAACTCTGCAGTCCAGTGCCTTAGCCCACAGCACCCGCCAACCAGGCCCAGCCCAGCGCAGCGTGAAAACCCAGAGGTGGTAAAGGGAAGCACAGTGAGTACGCTTGGGGGTTATCTGCAAAGCTCATGATGGGGCCTAGAAGAAAATATGCAGAACCATGTGTTGGATGGGGGACACAGAGCCCCCTTAGGCTAGGCGCCATACGGGGAAACATTAGAGGGTTTACGAGCCCTAGGAATGTCCCTAGAGGAGTCCAGAGACTTAAATCTGGCCTGGAAAGGTGGAGGTGCCTTAAAGAGGTATTTGTATCACAGGCCTTTCTTCACAAGATACAGAACTAGTCCTGGGTTCCCAGGAGACATTTACCTTGTGTTGGCCTGGGATACTCTAAAGTGGGAACGTTGTGGGGGGATGGGGGCTGTGAGTCCTCTAAAAACAGAAGGGTCCTGGTGGGCATGGACAGTTTCCAGTGAAGCATAGCAACTTTTAGTGGTGGGGGGATAGGGCCATATCCTCAGAGCCAAAGGCAACTGTAGGGAGAGATGGGGGAGGGGAGCTGTACTTGTTATAGAGCACGATATCTGGTAGCCACACAAGGCTGCTGGGGATGTGGATGACATCCAGACCACCATAGGCATCCGGGTTCCATTGCAGGTAGGCATCTGTCCACTCCTGTCGGATCCACAGGTACAGGGTCAGCACTTGGTTCCTCTCATCCTAGAGGGAAACAGGGAGTAGGTACCGATGTAGACACATGTGTATGCATACACCCCCACCCCACCCCCTGCGTGTGCAAGCACACTCACTTCCAGAACTCTGCTTGCCCAAACTCCAATTCCCACCCACACCTAACATTGCTGTGACTTCTCCAGGCCTCAGTTTCATCAGTAGTGATATGGGCTCATGATCTCTGCCTAGCAGAGGTTCAGAGTAATCAAGTGTGTAAACTGTTAGGTATACTATAAAGCAACCAACAGCTAGTAGTTATTAATATTAAGGTTTACACCCCCTCATTCCTTGACAGTGTTACAGGCATATTCCACAGTTGTACCCCCACCACAACACACCATGTCAATGATCTGGGACAATGTCACCTCCAGGGTCACATTCAGAGTCTGGTCTGTGTCTGCCACAGGTCGCAGGGCACTTGTGTAGTTGGCAAAGAGGTCACGGAACAGCTTATGAGCCAGCCTGCCCTCAGCTCCCAAGCACCCTAGGGGATCAATAAGAAGGGTTGTCTGCTCCAGACCCAAGTCCAGGGACCTCTACTCATACTGAACTTCACCTCCATACAATTGGGCCCTGTCCCCTACTTCATTCTCCTGCTGTCTGTGGCTCTGCTCCCTCCATGGCCAGCTCCAGGTATGAATGGGATAAAGACCATAGGACAAGTTGGTTTGCTTTCCCATCCCATCTCTTGGAACATGACTGACTAGAGGGTTCTACCTGACTCTACCCTTTCAGAGAACCAAATTCTTCTGTCTGCTTTGCCACAAATGCTAACCAATTTTTGTTGAGTCTAATTCAAGCTTATAGTGACTCCATGTGTGTCAGAGTAGAACTAACTCTGTTCCATAACTGAGTTTTCAGAAGTATTTAGACCTTTCTTCCAAGGTGCCTCTGGGTAGACTTTAACCTCCAACCTTTCAGTTAGCAACCAAGCTCGTGACTATTTGTACCACCCAGGGGCTTTGCCACAAATGCTGGTGTTGTTAAGTGCCGTCGAGTCAGTTCTAGCTCATAGTGACCTTGTATAGGGTTTCTGAGGAGCAACTGTTAAGCTTGAACCACTGACCTTGAGGTTCAAACTGACTTTGCAGACTAGTGCCTTAACCCACAGTGCCACACCAGGACTCCGCCAAAAATGATAGAGGGACTCAAATACACCACGAGAGTCCAAACTTTCACCCAGGTATTCTGAACCTCACTCATTGCTCTGTCTCTTCAGTCTTTCAGACCTGTTTCCATTTCATTGGCACAGTTTGGTTGGTTTCTGAGCTTCAGTTGACTTCTTCAAAGCATGATACTGGGACCATTCCCTCCTTCAGAGAACACCCACTTCCCAAGGCTCTTGTGACAAAGCAACCCCTGTGTCAGAGTAGATGGCTGATATTTTCAATGGCTGATATTTCAGACGTAGATAACCAGGTCTTTCTTCCATCAAGACTCTGAGTGAGTTTGAACTGCCAGCCTTTGGGTTAACAGCCAAATATTTGCACCACCCAGAGACTCCTTTAATAGGTGCAGCCTCTAAATCTGTAAATCTTTATACCCATGAACATCTGAAGGTGTCTTCAAAAAGTTCATGGAAAAATTGAATGTACAAAGATAATAGATTTTTTTCCACAAACTTTCTGAAGTCCGTTCATATTCATACATAGGTTTGACTGAGAATATTTCTAAATATTTCTGCATATGTGTTGCAAATATATCCATGAATATAACAGAGCATACAGGGTACAAAGTTGTGAAAACTTCTTAACTATAGCCAGATGCCTTGAGGGGATGAGTCACACTGGGCCTGGGGGCTCAGGACCATAGTCTCAGGGGACACCAAGGTCAGTTGGCACAACACAGTTCACAAGTCCACATACTCCACATTCTACTTTGGTGAGTAGCAACTAGGGTCTTAAAAGTCTGTGAGTGACCCTCTATGGTCCAACTAATATTCTATCCCAAAGAAGAGGAGAAAATCAAAGATGTATGAAAACTCTTAACAAACTAATGGACCATGTGAACCCTAGCCTCCATGACCTTGAGATCAGAAGATTTAGATGGTGTCTGGCTACCACTGTTCCAAAAAGGATCACAATAGGGGGTCTTAGATAGAGTTGGGGGGAAATATAAAACAAAACTCAATAAAAAAGACCAGGCTTAACTGCTCAGAGAGACTGGTGGAAATGCCTGAACTAGAGCCCTTAGACACCCTTCAAGCCCTGAACTGAACTTACCCCAGTGGCTCAACATTTAGCTTAAATGATAAATGGGCCTATAAGGTGAATAGTAACACCAGGGATGTATGTATGTAGTCCTTAGAACAATCAACCAAACAAGAGCAAAAGGCAGCTATTGCCCAGGGATAAAGTACAGAAGGCCAGAAGGGATAAAAAAAGAAGGGTGCACAGAAACAAACTCAGGGAGGAAGTGGGAAGAGTGTTGCTATATTGTGGGGATGGCAAATCAATGTCACAAAACAAAATGTGTATGAATTGTTAAATGGAAAACCAATTTGCTTTGTAAACTTTCACTCAATCATAAGAAAATAATTTTTTAAAATATACAAATCTGACTTACTTAAAACCTCCAGGATAAAGCCTAAACTCTGGTTGGCATTCTTTATTATCTGGTCTCTCCGATCTTTCCAGTCCTACCTCTGTACGCTCCCCCACCCCCACCCCTCTTGCTGCTCCCACCCAAGCCAAACAACTCTTCTTTTACCCTCTTCAGCGCCCCTCCTCTAAGCTTCTCACATAGGCAGTTTGTTCCTAGTACAGTTACTGAAGAGAAAGACTATGTGGGGAGAGATCTGGGGAGGACAATGCTGGGAGAAGCCAGGACTGGTGCACTGAGCTAGTTTCATACCTGGCAGGAGCAGGAGGAGAAGGCCCAGGCTAGAACAGAGGAAGTTGAGGTTGTGGTGGTTCCGGTGCCCCATGGCCACAGCAGCAGCAAGAGGTGGGCAGGTCTCTGTATACAAAGCGTCCTGACTAGACCTAGGGTAATAGGCCCTTCTGGAAAGCAGAAGCAAGACTGAGATCCTTGCTGGGCCCAGCTTTCCACAGGGAACCTTTCAGTTATCTGATCCTTGTTTGTACCTGTCCTTGGATTTCAGAAACTGCTCCTTGGCTGTTTCTTTTTCTCGTCTGGGCCTCTGTTGGACTCTTTTCGCTTCTGTTCTTTTCTATGCTACCCACTCTCTTTACCTCTTAGCCTTTCTATTGATTTCCTTTTGTCTTTTCCCCTGTAACTCTTTCTTGATCTCTCTCCCTGCTTCCTGGACTCTGATCTTTCTCTCTTTCTACTCTTTCTCTCACTTTGTTCTACTGCTATTTTAGCTTCCCTGGTATCCCCTATCCATTCTCCACACCTGAGCTCTGGGTGAACCTGCTGAGGGTTCTGAGGCCCCTCCTTCTTAGGCCTTGTCATTAGCTTAATTACAGGGCTGGAAATACTCTGTGCCCATGGGAACAGAGAAACTGAAGCTGCATCTCAGGCTACCAGGACCTGAATTATTCAACATGTGAAAGGCAGCACCCAGCCAGGGTGGTTGGAGAATCCAGGGACACAGAGGTCAGGATCTGAGGGACATTCTAAGGGGGTGAGGGATCAAGGCAATGAGTTGATAACTACCCTCTCAGCTTTGCTACCATTATCTGACTTCTGGAGACTCTCTTTGTTGTTGTGAAGTGCCATCGAGTCGGTTCCAATCCACAGCGACCCTGTATAGGGTTTCCAAGGAGCAGCTGCTAAGCTTGAACTGCCTCCTTGCAGTTCAGACGGCTTTGCAGTCTGGTGCATTAACCCATAGCACCACACCAGGTCTCCTTTAGACCACAGAAATTGAACACATCTGTCCAGGTCAGGAGCTTTGTGCCAGGCAAGCGCTCCCTTTCTGGTGGGAGTAGTGTTGAGTCACAGACTAATTAAGAGATGCAGCTCACATCCTCTTCTCAAAGTCTTTGCAGCCATTCCAGTGGGAGCCTCTGTCTTTTCTCCACACTCAAATACTGCTAGGCATAAGGTTTACACTGGCCAGTTTTTTTAGAAGTAGATGTTGAGATTTTACTTCCTAGTCTGTCTTAGTCTAGAAGCTCTGCTGAAACCTGCCCACCACGGGTATTTGAATTACTAGTGGTATACTTTCTCGTATCACAGCAACATGCAAGTCACAACAAACTGACAGATGAGAGGCATTAGATATCATAGGCATCAATAAGCTGTATTAGCCATTTTTAATATGCTTGGAATGACAAATTGAAGAAGAGTCACATTCATTGCTAAATAGAACATTTTAAGACCTATCCTGAAGTACAGTTCTGTCAGTGATAGGATAATACCCGTATGCCTACTAGGAAAATGAATAAATCTTTGTGGGAAGAAGTACAACCAGAATACTCCTTAGAAGCAAGGATGGTGAGACTTCGCTTCACATATTCTGGACAAGTTATCTGGAGGAAGCTTCGGTCCCTGGAGAAAGACATCGTGCATAGTAAAGTAGAGGGTCAGTGAAAAAGAGAAAGACCCTCAATGAGATGTGTTGGCACAGTGGCTGCAACAATGGGCTCAAACCTAGAAATGATCGTGAGGATGACGCAGGACTGGGCAGGGTTTCACTCTGTTATACGTTGGTCATTATAATAGAGCTGGAACTGACTCAATGGCAAGTAACACAAACACAAGAAGACCAGTTAATACAACTATTAATCAAATTTACATACCAACCACTAATGACAAGATGAAGAAATTGAAGATTTTTGCCAACTTCTGCAGTCTGAAATTGATCAAACATATGCATTGATAATTACTGATGATAGGGATGCAAAAATTGCAAGCAAAGAAGAATCAGTACTCAGAAAATATGATGTTGGTGATAGAAACAATGCAGAATAGTGCATGATATAATTTGTAGCCCAACAGCTCATTAATTGGAAATACGTTTTTCAAGAACATAAATATTGACTATCCACCACATGAAATACACAGGAACAAATGGACTAGATGTGTAGAAAGAGATGATAGAGAAGTACAATTAATCATCAGTCAGAACAAGGCCAAAAGCCAACTATTGAACAAACCATCAATTGCTTATATTCAAGTTCAAATTAGGAGCCAAAGTAGACTTTGAGTATAACTCATAGTTACCCTATATAGGGTTTCCAAGGAACGGCTGGTTTGACTGCCTACCTTGAAGTTAGCAGTCCAGTGCTTATCTTTTATTTCCACACCATGCTCTGATTTTGAGTATACCCTATCTGAATTTAGAGACTATTTCAATAATAGATTTGATACATTAAACACTAATGACCAAAGGCCAGGTGACATCACTGATCTGTCTTAGTCTGGGTTCTCGAGAGAAGCAAAACCAGTGAAGCTTATAAAGAGAAATTTATATCAAGGAAATGGCTCACACAGTTCTAGAGGTGGGTAAGTCTGTGGGTCTGATGAACCAAGGGCAGGTCAAGTGGCAGGTAGATAAGATAGCAGGTTGCTGACGACTCCCAGGATGGTAGGCAATAGAGCAGACCTCTGGCTCAAGTCTCAGTGAAGAGCTAGATGCAAGATCCAGACCCAGCAGAAAGCAGACAAGCTTTGTCCAAGTTTCCAATGTATTGGAAGCAGACCACACCCCTTAGAATATGTTCTTTCAGTTGATTGGCTGTTCATATAAGTCTCATCATGGAGTTGATTACATTATATTAGATCTCATCATGAAGGATTACTACATTTGTACTGCCAAATTGCTGAGAATCCTGGCCTGGTCAAGTTGACACAGAACCTTGGTATCTTGGCACTATCAACTTGGCATCTGTACATATCTTCTTAAATCATACATAACTTCTAAATAAAGACAATTATAAAGTCTCTAGATAGGGTCCCACATTCCATTCCTGGACTATAAGAAGGGATAAGTTTCTTATGATTCAATAGTGAGTAATTGTTATCATGACTAATTGCGACTGTCACAACTGCAAAGGAAGAAGTTTTGTAACAAATGGGGGATTAGTTAATCTTGCATTCCAGGAACATAGGACCATCGAGGGAAGAGCAGGAGTGGGGGTCCTAACCAGAGAATCAGTGACACCAGAGAAATAGAGCAACTGAGGACTCTAGACTCATGGAACGAGAAAAACTGTGTGCTGTCTTGCAAAAATGTACCCTTTGGCTGTTTAAATGATTATGTATTCCTGCGTGTGTTTGTGTACATCAAAAAAAAAAAAAGGAATAAAGGCAATTACTATTAACCCATGGTGCATGGAGGAGATTGTAATCATTGCAGTGAAACAAAATGCGATTGATTGAATGCAAAACTGATTTTCCACAATGTAATCTATCACTTAATTCATAATAAAATCTTAAAAAAAAAAAAAAAGAGTATCCTACAGAAGGTCATTAAGAAGGGAAGAAAGAAAGAAAAGACCAAAATGGATGTCAGAAGAGACTATGAAACTTGCTCTCCCATGTAGAGATGCTAAAGCAAATGGAAGAAATGAGGAAGTATGAGAGCTGAACAGGAAATCTCAAAAGAGCAGCTCGAGAAGACAGAGTCAAATATTACAATGAAATGTGCAGAGATCTGGAGTTAGAAAACCAAAAGGGAAGAGCACGTTTAGCATTTCTCAAGCTGAGGGATATGAAGAAATAATTCAAGCCTTGATTTGAAATATTGAAGGATTCTTTGGGCAGAATATTAAATGATGCAGAAAGCATCAAAAGAATATAGAAGGAATACGTAGAGTCAGTGTACCAAAAAGAAATGGTCAATGTTCAACCATTTCAAGAGGTAGCATATGGCCAAGAATCAATGGTACTGAAGGCAGAATCCAAGCTTCACTGAAGCCATTGGTAAAGAACAAGGCTCTGGGAATTGATAGAATACAAACTGAAATCTTTCAACAGAGATAGCACTGGAGGCACTCACTCATCTATGCCCAGAAATTTGCAAGACAGCTCCTTGGCCAACTGATTGGAAGAGTTCCATATTTGTGCCCATACCAAAGAGAGGTGATTCAACAGAATGTGGAAATCATTGGACAATATCACTAATATCACAGGTAAGTAAAATTTTGCTAAAGATAAATAAAAAAGAGCTGCAATAGTACATTGACAGGGAACTGCCAGAAGTTCCAGTCAGATTCAGATGAGGATGTTGGATGAGGGATATCATTATTGACATCAGATGGATCTTGGATGAAAGCAGAGAATACCAGAAAGATGTTTGCCTGTTTTTTATTGATTAAGGAAAAACTTTTGACTATATAGATCATAACAAATTATGGCTAACATTGAGAAAAACAACATTCAGCAGCATCTTGTAAGGCATCTGCCTCAGGGTGGTGCCCAGGAAAATTCCGAGGGTGCTGCTCCAGGTAACATCTCAGACAATGATTCATCAGGCAAACCTTGGATAATTTTATCACCACAGGCTAGAGGGCTGGTTTTGTTGGGAGCTTCCTGATTATCTGCATTTATGTACCCTTCCCAAGTCTCAGAATTCCATTTTTTCACAATCAGTGACCTTACTTTAACATCAGACACCATTCAACATTGGGAATTCAGCTGGCATTGTAATTCAGCCACTCTTGGTGTGGCGCTGATGTGCTGTATGATAAGCACTTGACCTCAAGGGCAGTTTGAACTGCTTTGATTCAGTTCTGAATCAGAGTGACCACAAGGTCGGTGGTTCAAACTCACCAGCCACTCCTTGGAAACTTTATACAGGGTCACTATGAGTTAGAACTGACTTGATGACACTTAACAACAACAAAACAATAAGAATCTGGGTTTGATTTTTGGACATATCAGCTCTGCTACTTTAAGAAAGAAGGCTTTCTTAACAGGGTATAAGTGGAAACCTTGAGATCTTTTATGTAGCACTTGAGCTGTGATTCCTTACCAGATGGTCTAGTATAAGAAGTACCAACCACCAAGCTTCTC